TATGAAATAAGTTGGTTGTGATGTCAGATATTGGAGTTGAAAATATCGTTATTGGAAATATGTGCATTGTGATGAATGTGGAGATATCACCCTCAGTTTTTGATAAGTTAATTTACATTAAAATGTTTGGAGTAGATGTTTAGAATTTTTGAATTTTATTTAGCAGATAGCATGATAATGCATTATTAAGATACTCAATTCATCTGAAGAAGTAGATCTCTTGGTAATAGCTGGCAATGTCCACATGTGAATTGGAAAAGGAAAATTGCTTAAATTGCCCATAGCAACTGTGAATTGCAAAAGCAGTCCTTACTCCTATTTTCTTTACTTTTATATCTTCTATACCTTTACCTCATTTAGAAGTAATTCTAAAAAATACCTAATGATGGCTCCACATGTGAATTGGAAAAGGAAAATTTCTTAAATTACCCATAGCAACTGTGAATGGCAAAAGCAGTCCTTACTCCTACTTCCTTTACTTTTATATCTTCTATACCTTTACCTCATTTAGAAGTAATTCTAAAAAATACCTAATGATGGCATCACATGTAAAATATGGCATTCTGACGTGCAATGCCATTACTGAAAATGTGTTTGGTGTTGGTTGTTAGCTAGTGTGGCGGTTCTAGGCACCAACTCATGAGTTCTCACAGGTTTGAATCTTGAGAGTCGCTGGCATGTCAGGGTGATGAACACGGTTGTGTCCACAGCATCGAGGCAGCAGACCGACTGACACTTACAGTCTTAAGACGTCTGAATGTGCTAAGCCATCACCTTGCTGGTATTGTCTAAACAGTGGTTAGATGAGACCTATCTCTAATGAATCCACGCAGGCCACACAAAGGATACCTGTGTCCTCACCTCAGAGAACTTTTTGCCACACACAAAGTGGAGGTGGACCGGGTAATGTTCTGGAAATCCATTAGTCCAGTACCCAGTCATGATGTCATATTTAAAAAATCCTAATCAGACTAACCAGTTTAAGCATGTCAACGATACCAATCTGTACCAAGGGTCTTAGGGGTATTGCTGCACTGAATGAAGTTAGTTCAATGAAGTATTAGTCCACCTTTTGTAACATATAACTGGACACTTGCTTATGCAAATTGAGCCTCAGACCTCACATTATTAACATGCTCTAGGACCTAGTATTAAGTACAGAAAGTATATACGTATCCCCTGTAATTAAGCGTTTTAGTTGCAGCCAAAAACCCTCTCAAGTATGGACCGGCCTCAGATAGTCTGAAATTATATGACAGGGCAGCCAATAACAATATACAGGACTTCAAACCTGTGACGTCATACCAAGGGAGTCAACAACATAAGTGAGCCAGCGACACTGACGGCAATGTGGAAGACCCTGCCGGTGTCGGAAGGAATTAGGAGCCCGCCGACAACATCACAGGCAGTTCTGAAAGACCAATAACTTAGCCGAGTGGAACGGCACAACCACCAAATCTCCAGCCCAGGCAGAATCGAAGCAGATGTGCACCAATAGCACCAGCAGTGATGTGGTCGTGCAGAGAGCCATGCAGACATCTGAAATGCTACCGCACCTTGCCCACACCACCAATGTGGTAGACTATAAATTTATTCTACATCTTTAAAGATTACTTTTGCTTACTAACTGATATTGGAGTACAATGCCATCGCACAGGAAGTCGGAAGTAGGGCATTTGAGTATGAAGAAAGAGCAGGTGTCGTAGTTAATGGTTTGGTTAGGTTGCCATCCGTAGTTAATTATGTGTAATACTTTGTCAAAATATGAAGTAACCTCCGAAATAGGCAGCTAAGGCCCACCAGTGGATTGTATAGTCGGAGATGAGAGAATAGTTTGTCAAGACCTATATGTGTGTGAGAAGGCCTCTTCCTGCATGCAGACATGTTGAACGGTACATTGACGATTTACCAGCATTTCATCAGATCAGACAACAGCGGAAATGCAACGCAATCTGCGTTCCCACTCTTATTATACTAAGGTTAGAATAATATCTGATGGAGTAGACTGCAGACTGGTGATTTTGCGTCTTTGAGCTAACAATTTAAAATATCTGCCAGGTTTCTGTCTGTTCTGACTGGTTCTTCTCAGACTCTTCATGTAAATACTGCGACAGTACCACAGGGGTTTCTGTGACCGACTTCTTTCAGTGTCAATATCTATTTATCCCTCATGAACATTATCCTGTCTCCTGCAGGTCTTAATTATTGATTTTCAAGTTATTTAACAAGCTTTTTCAGCTTCAGTGAGGCAGAATAATGATTACTTATGGTGACAGGGTAACAGGTAGGAAGGAGAATGGCTGTGACTTCTTTCAAGGTAGTATTGGAAAATTTTCTTGTAGAGACAGTAAAACCACAAAAATCTTCAATCAGGATAACTGGCGACCCAGGTAAGATTCGAATCGTGCTCTTCTAAAATGCGTCAGGAGCATTACCATTATATAATAATTCTGCCACTGACATATCATCATTAAATAACCTGTAACCTTTTCAGTACGCAGGCAAATTAGTTCTCTGTGTTGGTGAAGGTTTTGCATGAAAGTTCTGGAATACATTTAATATAATATTTTCTCTGACATTTACAGCTCTGCCAGCCCTGAGGTTTGTGACTATGTTGGTCAACGAGACTTGTATGTCCCTATACTGCTTGCCCGAGGCAACCATCTGGTCGACAAGCATATAAGCTTTCACAGCGAAAGATCTGTAATTAAGTCTTTATGCTGTTTATCACCATTCCTGTATTACTCTAAATATATGTCCTCTGTCATAAGAACTTTAGAGTACACAAATGAAAGAAGTGAATTTCTCCTTAAAAACAAAAGATTGTCTTTTAAGGCAGTTACATATTATGTCAAATAAGGTAGTTTCATTTATGTAAAATAAAACATTTTAAAGTTTCTTACTTTTTTTTTCTATTTCAAATAAATTAATCGCATGAAAACTGTGCTTCCAAGGATGTCAACAAGAGGCTAGCATTGAAAAAGTGCTTCCACTTAGGTCCATTTTCAAATTCTGATGGACACAATCAGAGAAAACTGCTGTTTCTCTTTCTTGCTTGTTCCAACGTTACACTTCTCATTATTCAAAGTGTCAAACCAGTTAACGTTTTGTACCAGTTTATGTGGTCTATGAATAGAAACGTTGCGCGTGTTACAAAAGAACATAACAGCTGAACACACATTGAATGTTGATTTGTTACAAAATCAAAGATTTCAGATTAAAAATTTGTATGCATTGAATGATTGTTTGAACAGACTCCAGTATGGTGACCTGGTGGCTCACACAGTCCTTTTGAGGACATTAACCCGGCCTTGGCCAGTGCCTTATTTCGTCTCACCCTACACTTGATGTTATCCAGTCCATTTTTGCTCTGAATATTTTCTTTCCCTCATTTTGTGTTCCGGTAATCTTTCCACTGGTCCCCAAGGGGCCACTTCAGTTATCCTCTGTCTCTTTTCCCTTCTTTACCAGTGTGTGGTATGCTCTCTTCTCTCCCATTGCCCATTCCTTGCCTTATTCCCATTGGTCCGGTCTAGGTTCTGCCTTGACTGACTAATTTGTTTCTGAGACTAAATCATCACATGTAGTTTCCTCATCACCCTGATAATGGAGGTAGCAAGTACCTCAGAAATGCTGGTAAACTTCTACCAGACTGCATGGTTCTACAGGCCAGAAGACAACCATCTTCATGTCACTGCCATGAGAACCTCAAATCCTGCTTGTACTGTCCCAGAATCTGCCTGTAGGACTGAGGAAAACCAGAAAAATCTCAGAATTGATGGCCAAATGCAAATTAGGATCTTCAGAATTGAGTGTTATCGACAAACAAAACTTCTGCACCTTGGAAGACAGGAGGATAATATTGGTAGTATCTTGACAAAATTCTGACAGATTTCTCTCCTCAGTCCCTCCATGAAGCTACTGGCCTAGTACTTTAACTCTGTAGGCAAAATGGTAGAGTTAAAGACTACTGAATTAGGTGCTACATGCAGTTATCAATGGGCATTAAAGAGTTAAATTAGGCTACATCCACTTCAAAAATTGGTTTAAACCCTTCTTTTACATTCTTTATTTCTTTGTATGCCATGTATGTGTTACCTGTTCTAAACTCCTCATTAATCTGACACCAGTTTAAGCATGTCAACGATACCAATCTGTACCAAGGGTCTTAGGGGTATTGCTGCACTGAATGAAGTTAGTTCAATGAAGTATTAGTCCACCTTTTGTAACATATAACTGGACACTTGCTTATGCAAATTGAGCCTCAGACCTCACATTATTAACATGCTCTAGGACCTAGTATTAAGTACAGAAAGTATATACGTATCCCCTGTAATTAAGCGTTTTAGTTGCAGCCAAAAACCCTCTCAAGTATGGACCGGCCTCAGATAGTCTGAAATTATATGACAGGGCAGCCAATAACAATATACAGGACTTCAAACCTGTGACGTCATACCAAGGGAGTCAACAACATAAGTGAGCCAGCGACACTGACGGCAATGTGGAAGACCCTGCCGGTGTCGGAAGGAATTAGGAGCCCGCCGACAACATCACAGGCAGTTCTGAAAGACCAATAACTTAGCCGAGTGGAACGGCACAACCACCAAATCTCCAGCCCAGGCAGAATCGAAGCAGATGTGCACCAATAGCACCAGCAGTGATGTGGTCGTGCAGAGAGCCATGCAGACATCTGAAATGCTACCGCACCTTGCCCACACCACCAATGTGGTAGACTATAAATTTATTCTACATCTTTAAAGATTACTTTTGCTTACTAACTGATATTGGAGTACAATGCCATCGCACAGGAAGTCGGAAGTAGGGCATTTGAGTATGAAGAAAGAGCAGGTGTCGTAGTTAATGGTTTGGTTAGGTTGCCATCCGTAGTTAATTATGTGTAATACTTTGTCAAAATATGAAGTAACCTCCGAAATAGGCAGCTAAGGCCCACCAGTGGATTGTATAGTCGGAGATGAGAGAATAGTTTGTCAAGACCTATATGTGTGTGAGAAGGCCTCTTCCTGCATGCAGACATGTTGAACGGTACATTGACGATTTACCAGCATTTCATCAGATCAGACAACAGCGGAAATGCAACGCAATCTGCGTTCCCACTCTTATTATACTAAGGTTAGAATAATATCTGATGGAGTAGACTGCAGACTGGTGATTTTGCGTCTTTGAGCTAACAATTTAAAATATCTGCCAGGTTTCTGTCTGTTCTGACTGGTTCTTCTCAGACTCTTCATGTAAATACTGCGACAGTACCACAGGGGTTTCTGTGACCGACTTCTTTCAGTGTCAATATCTATTTATCCCTCATGAACATTATCCTGTCTCCTGCAGGTCTTAATTATTGATTTTCAAGTTATTTAACAAGCTTTTTCAGCTTCAGTGAGGCAGAATAATGATTACTTATGGTGACAGGGTAACAGGTAGGAAGGAGAATGGCTGTGACTTCTTTCAAGGTAGTATTGGAAAATTTTCTTGTAGAGACAGTAAAACCACAAAAATCTTCAATCAGGATAACTGGCGACCCAGGTAAGATTCGAATCGTGCTCTTCTAAAATGCGTCAGGAGCATTACCATTATATAATAATTCTGCCACTGACATATCATCATTAAATAACCTGTAACCTTTTCAGTACGCAGGCAAATTAGTTCTCTGTGTTGGTGAAGGTTTTGCATGAAAGTTCTGGAATACATTTAATATAATATTTTCTCTGACATTTACAGCTCTGCCAGCCCTGAGGTTTGTGACTATGTTGGTCAACGAGACTTGTATGTCCCTATACTGCTTGCCCGAGGCAACCATCTGGTCGACAAGCATATAAGCTTTCACAGCGAAAGATCTGTAATTAAGTCTTTATGCTGTTTATCACCATTCCTGTATTACTCTAAATATATGTCCTCTGTCATAAGAACTTTAGAGTACACAAATGAAAGAAGTGAATTTCTCCTTAAAAACAAAAGATTGTCTTTTAAGGCAGTTACATATTATGTCAAATAAGGTAGTTTCATTTATGTAAAATAAAACATTTTAAAGTTTCTTACTTTTTTTTTCTATTTCAAATAAATTAATCGCATGAAAACTGTGCTTCCAAGGATGTCAACAAGAGGCTAGCATTGAAAAAGTGCTTCCACTTAGGTCCATTTTCAAATTCTGATGGACACAATCAGAGAAAACTGCTGTTTCTCTTTCTTGCTTGTTCCAACGTTACACTTCTCATTATTCAAAGTGTCAAACCAGTTAACGTTTTGTACCAGTTTATGTGGTCTATGAATAGAAACGTTGCGCGTGTTACAAAAGAACATAACAGCTGAACACACATTGAATGTTGATTTGTTACAAAATCAAAGATTTCAGATTAAAAATTTGTATGCATTGAATGATTGTTTGAACAGACTCCAGTATGGTGACCTGGTGGCTCACACAGTCCTTTTGAGGACATTAACCCGGCCTTGGCCAGTGCCTTATTTCGTCTCACCCTACACTTGATGTTATCCAGTCCATTTTTGCTCTGAATATTTTCTTTCCCTCATTTTGTGTTCCGGTAATCTTTCCACTGGTCCCCAAGGGGCCACTTCAGTTATCCTCTGTCTCTTTTCCCTTCTTTACCAGTGTGTGGTATGCTCTCTTCTCTCCCATTGCCCATTCCTTGCCTTATTCCCATTGGTCCGGTCTAGGTTCTGCCTTGACTGACTAATTTGTTTCTGAGACTAAATCATCACATGTAGTTTCCTCATCACCCTGATAATGGAGGTAGCAAGTACCTCAGAAATGCTGGTAAACTTCTACCAGACTGCATGGTTCTACAGGCCAGAAGACAACCATCTTCATGTCACTGCCATGAGAACCTCAAATCCTGCTTGTACTGTCCCAGAATCTGCCTGTAGGACTGAGGAAAACCAGAAAAATCTCAGAATTGATGGCCAAATGCAAATTAGGATCTTCAGAATTGAGTGTTATCGACAAACAAAACTTCTGCACCTTGGAAGACAGGAGGATAATATTGGTAGTATCTTGACAAAATTCTGACAGATTTCTCTCCTCAGTCCCTCCATGAAGCTACTGGCCTAGTACTTTAACTCTGTAGGCAAAATGGTAGAGTTAAAGACTACTGAATTAGGTGCTACATGCAGTTATCAATGGGCATTAAAGAGTTAAATTAGGCTACATCCACTTCAAAAATTGGTTTAAACCCTTCTTTTACATTCTTTATTTCTTTGTATGCCATGTATGTGTTACCTGTTCTAAACTCCTCATTAATCTGACTTATTTTCTCTGTCATATGTTTCCTTTTCTTCCTGCGACAAGTGTTTTGAGCTTTCTTATTCAGCTCTTCTAATTCTTGTTTCTTTTTCCCGGTTGGGCGTGCTAAATATCCTTGATAAGCTTTATCTCGTTCTTGAATGTCTTCTTGGCATTCTTCATCAAACCATTCTTTCTTTTTATTAAATTGTACTGTCCCAAGTGTGACCTTTGCTGTTTCTTCAACACTCTCTTTAAGTCTTCCCCATTACATTTGATATATCTTGTGGTTGATGCAATCCCATACTTCCCAGTTTTCCTTCTAAATTGGTTACGAAGGTTTTCCTGGTCTTCTTATCTTCTAGCTTACTAAAGACTGCCACCTAAGAGTCCTAAACCCAAGGACATCCATCACTAACACAAGTACAAAATATACACCGGAGTGATGTCCAGTATTATAAAGGAAAAACTTACCGCAGCGGACATCACCACTGGCGGACCACCCACACAGAGCTAACACTGCAGAGCCAAACAAAATTTAGATGGAAAGGCCGAACCTGAAATTCTAGAAGCGTTTCTGGCAAAAGCCTGTACAGCAGTGGTCTTCCAAGTTACAGGGCAACACAGTCCTAAGAAGTGGATGGAAAATTTAGAGGGGTGGGGGCAAGGACATCTGCGCATGGCCATCAGTTTATGTTAGGATAGGTTAGGTTAGGTTAGGTTCGTATTTTGATAGTTACTTCATTAGCTGTAACCTTTTCGGTTATGGCTGCCGATGGCACACTTTTATTTGGTGAAGGAGACACATTTCCAGTGACTGAATCTGTTGCAGATCTTTGGTTTTAATAGTCCTGAATTCACTTCCAGGTAGGGATACCTTGTAAAATTTTAGTATGGTGTCTTTGCATACTTTTGAATGAGATACTCTGTATTGTTCCACATTTGAACTGGAATGTAGCTAATTTAATTTTAATATCTGCATTGGTGTCGTAGGACATATCGTTGCCAAGATATTTAAAATTTGAGACTTGTTGTCTTTTATGATTTTTGTTCTAACACGAAATTTCCTTCTGAAGGCCATTTAGCTTTTGTATAAGATATTTTGAAATTATATATTTGACAAATGTTTAATAAGTACATGGAATGATGTAGTTAATATTCTTTAGATATTATTACTGGGTCATCTGCGAATCTTGTGTGCTCAGTTTAAGTTTTATTCTTTTACAAGCTTTTTATATCTAGTTTTGAATCATATATTAAAAAGTGTGGGTCACAACCCACTCCCTTACCCCACTCCTTCATCGGTGTCTATTGGTTTTGTGTTGTGATAATGGGATTTTTTACAGAAATAAGGTGGCACGGGCATTATGTACCAAAGTATTGTCCTGTCTGTGCAGCCGAATGCCTTTCAAGATCATTGGAGGTTATGTTGCTTTCAGGATTGTATTCTTGTCATTTCTCTATGGTGTGTTCAAATGTGAAAATGCTATCAATACATGATTTGCCTCTTCTAGATACATTTTGTATCTCATCATTCTGAAATTGGTGTTGGTCTTTGGGTAATGATCATGGTATATATTTTAGATCTTGATGAAATTAGGCTAATTATTGGTACATTTGGTTCAATCAAAGAGTTTCTCTGACAGATTTCAGTTCTGTAGCAAGTACGTCAGTTTTCTTTTGGAGGTTGAAAATTGTGAGCTGGTTCTCCTGGTTTGTGCGTCTCAAGTCCTTACAGTCACATGTCACATCTCCTCTGTCTCTTTGCTTTGTCCCTATGTGCATGCATTTTCATTTCTACTGCTTTTTTCATTTATCATCCTGCAGCTTTGAATTTAGGCTTTTCTGTCTCTGACTGTAGCATTTCTAATTTCTTTTTGAATGTAGTAATGAGTTCATTGAATTCTCAAGTAGTGTAATATTTCTTATTATAGCCTATAACTGAACCTTTAGGTAAATCCGTATACTCTTTTAGTGGACTTCTGTTTTAAGGTGGTTCTTGAGGTTTAAGCCTCATTTTTTGATTGATGAGAAGTGCTCACCTCTTTCACTGTATTTTTGGGCTTCGGCTGCGAAACAAAATTATGCGTTATTAAGAATATATGAAGCTTTTTCTCCTTTGTGTGTCTGTTCGTGTAATGAGAATAGCAACAACAAAAGTAAATGAACAGTTACAATGTACAGTGATCTATTTGTATGCAAATTTTGACTTAAATTTGTCAGCTATAAACTGACATTCATGCAATATTTGTAATTGCTTAAAGCGATCAGTACTGTATGCAGAATTTGTATGTGCAGTACAAAAATTGTATATAAAATTTCAAATTCTCCACTTCAACAATTCATTAACTCAGTGCTTCCCAGACCTGGGTAAATTACCCAAGAAGGGGTAAAAG